ATTCAACACAATTAATTAATATAAAGAATGATATAAATGTAATTTTCCACAGGCTTGGAGCAAGCGAAGAAAAATGATGGGCGCCCCAACATAAACATTTCTCGATGATTTTTCTTTTACTTTTATGCTTGAAGAGCCTCATATTATCAACAATCAAATACTCAAAAAGAAAAAAAGTTATTTGTCAACTAAGTTGTTAACTACATTGTCATGTCGATTTTCCACTAGCTGAACGAACAAAGATAGAGTGACCAGACGAATGTCAATTGAAGTTTGGGAATTCATTGTAATTTGCGGAAAGGGTGATTTTTGGTTTTGTGTTAGTGCCATTCTTTGGAAGGTGCTACTGCAACGTTCTCGGGCTATCGTCTAAGCCCTTAGAGTAAATTTATTGATTGAACATTGGATGATCAATCCGTATGCTATTCTGCCTTCTATATTTCTTTAAATATATTATATTTTCTATGATCTATGAGAAATTATGTTGTCCAAATCCCTACATGCTTAAGATTGTACTGATGCTATACGAGGTCCATAAAACCAATTAAGGAGATATTTAGCGTTAACATAGAAAGGAAATGCATTACGATTACATTGCTGCATTGATGAAGCACCGTGCACTAATACTTGGAGAATATTTCACATCACCATCAACCTATAACAACAATACAAAAAGAAAAAAATATATATATTGGGTTAGCACATTATTATAGAGGGGAACCAAAACAAAAAAAATTAAAAATTAAAAATTAAAAATTATGAATAGGAACAGAAAATACCTCGAAATTTTTTGATGCTATCTATAAAAATATAAGGATCCATCTTTTTACATAATGGCACATTGGTGTTATGATTGATTGAATCTCCACTTGCATCGATTGGAGATATGGAAGAAACACTACAATTTTCATCATTTTCACCTCCAACGGCTAAAATTAATTAATATAGTAGTCATAATAGAAATCTAACTAAACTTGTTTTATATTTTCCAGAACGACTAGTTGTACTTGGAAATTTTTGTGTTATCATCCCATCACGTCTACGAGTAAAAAATGAAGTATCAAAGTAACATCTGGTTATTTTTATAAGAATTATGCTATAGGTATATATTTCATGGATTACATCTTGGTGTAAATGGTGTGAGAATTCAAAAAGTGTTAGGTGAAAAAGTGTGGGTGTGTGTGTGTTTTTTAAATTATCCAATCATGTATCGCAACGTGATATTGACACGCCCCACTCTGAGTAACGCTAGTAGACCCGGAATGTGACGTGTCCCAATGATAGATACTAACCCAAGGTCGGACCCATCATCAAGGTCACTACCATATGCACATTTTTATGAATTATTTTTAATAGAATTTCGACATTATCATTGGAACGTGACGTGCGCCGATGATAGATGTCAATCCAAGGTCGGACCCATCATCAATGCTACTACCATATGTACATTTTTATAAATTATTTTTAACAGAATTTCGACAATATCTTCTCTGTAAATAGGACTAACTGACCTGTGATTCACATGTATAAATCCCAAAAATAACACAACATAATAGAGGTAAGCCGAAAATTCAACTTTTATTATGAAAATAACATGAAATGTACATATGGATGTAAAATACATAGTGAGCCTATAATGATCTACAAGTGATGCAAAATCAAATCCAAAAATGAACACGTGTCTCAAAACACTAACTACATACTCCATGAAATGAGTCATGCTCGCAAACTGTGTCATGTGGACTCCAAAATCAAATGTTCAATTCCAAAAGATGCCCAAAAACTCCATTGGTATCTAGTAACAAATATCGTGGAAAAATCTGAAATTGATAGATTAGAAAGTGGAGAAGTTCGAAAATAAATATACTTTTTTCATTTATATATTTTTATCAAAATCGAGTCTACATCACTCAATAGGTCATAATATAACATTATATAATAATAGTCAAGATATGAATTATTCTAGCAGTACTGAAAATATAATCTCGTAGACATGATAAAATCATCAATGTAAACTCAAAATATTTTCATTCGAAACTTTCACTTTTATTGAGCTCTTGACACTCCTATTAGGTACGAGATAGAGCTTTGCGTAATATCACATCAATAATCAATAATCGACTAGGCATAGTTGAGTGGCTCATCCTCCTATGATTATTAAATGTACATCTCCTGACAGCCCCTATGATTACCCAAGAAGCAATCCATTTGAGATGCCAATAATCACAATATCACAGTCGACTAGACCATCCTCCTGTAATCACTAGAGGTACATCCCTTGACAACATCATTATCACCCAAGAAGTATTTCACCCGAGATACCAATAATCACCCTATTACAATGGCACAAGCAAGCGATCATTTCTCCCGTGATCACAAAATGCACATCACCTAATGACCTTGTGATCACCCGAGAAGTTTCTGCATGCTTCGGTACCCTTATTAGTGGTCAATAAAACATATGTCTCATATTCTAATTCACAAGTAATCCATAAACAATCATTTATTTCCTAACAATGTTGGCAAATTTTCTTATTTATTTCTTTATTCTTCCTCTTTTCTTTTTCTTTTTTTTTTCCTTTCTTTCCTCTCTGTATCTCGGCTTCTCTGTGTGTGTTTTATGTGTAAATGAATTGATACGGATTGAATTTGGTCAATATATATATCCTATGCACCACCTGCCATTTTTTATGCTTTTAATTTTTTTTATTTTTATTTTTTGTTAGCATGACATATTTGACTTCAAAGTTAAGTGATGAATGATTAAATTTGATAAGTTATGTATTACAGGGACAATGTCAAAAATGATGTAACAGAATATGTAGACGTAGCATGACTGTTTTTATAATGTTTGTTTCTCAATTTTGTGTCTTATCAGTCTTGAAAAAAATGAATTAAAACAAATGTTCACTGATCTTTGAACTTGTTTCCATAATTTTTCTATCTAGGAGTTAAATAAAATAAAAAATCAAGAATTAATAGAGTAGCCTTTAAATTGCAACAACATGGACGTGATTAAACACAAGATAAAGAATATGATAAAAGCAAGAGACTTAAAAGGTGAGGAGAGGAGTAAACATCAGAATTGTTCTCTTGCCTACAGTAGGCAAGATAAAATGTGTCCACAGCTAACGTGGCATTTTTATGTCCGCAAGTCAAGTCGTCATTATTGTCTTCAAGTGGACACAATAGGCTCTTGTGTAGAGTGGTAGGAGATCATCCCCAGAGTAAACATATGGAATATGATGAACTGATTAACTAATCCCATAAAGTCATGAGTTGGGTATGTAATGCAATGCAACTAAAGTGACTATGGTTTCTAGTTATAGAAACCCCACTTCTGCATTGCCAAATCTAGAAGGTCTTACTGTCTTTTCTTGATTTGACATCTAAGCACTTTGAAATCATTGCTATAATGTGCAAATGTGGTGGAGTTCCTTTATACCCTGACAGTATGGCCATTTTCCCCCAAGAAGGATCTAAAAGGGCACAAAACGTTTTCCTTAACATTTCCCTAAATGCAAAAGATGGATTCCTCTCAACGTTGATTGAATGTTGAACCTGAAAAAATCCTACTTTTTTGCTTTTCCATTGAAATGAAGATAAAGTATTGCAACTTGCTAAGTTGGGACCACATGTAATGTCTGGACTTTGACCTGGGGCAGAAGAAAAGGGTTTTTTTAATTATAAATTTTTCTGGCTTACAACTAATTTCTGAGACTCTCAGGTGCGATTTAGGAAGATACTGTCAGAAAAACTGAAATGATAATATAGAAAACACCCCCAAATGGACTCCTTTTCCTCATCGTAATTAAAAAATATAAAAATCTGTGTGCTTCGTGAAGAAAGAAGCGAGGTGCGTGTGCGGTGGGGGATCAAAACAAGTTCTGCTCAATGTCATGCATTCTCGAAAAATCCCATATTCTGTTGCTTCATATTCCATGTTCTTGTATTGGTCTTTTTTATTATTATTATTATTATCAAAAGCATAACTAGTGTATTTTCATCAATGACAGATGGCGAGAATGCATTATTTATTAAGGAATAAAATCACATATCGAATAAAAATGAAAATCTAACTTATAAGAGTTTGAGCTACTTCTTTTAACAATGTTGACCATTTAAGATATAACTCTAAGTCTTAATATGGTGTTAGAGCTCATTAAAATCCGTCGAACAATTTGATCTAATTAAGACTAAGAAAATAAGCATGCAGATTTTAAGATTTGTCTGCTCAAACTAGCCACTATCTTACAGGGCCATGTTAAGGGATAAAATTTCACATCAAAGAAAGACGACAATAGAGATCAACTTATAATCTCAAGTTTTAATATTATTAAATGTTGGATTTTATCTTAGCCCTTGTTTGAGCCACGTTATTTTCATAAGAATGCGTTTTTGAATAATTTATTGATAAAAAGTGTGTGGTTAAAAAATAAGAAAAAAATTTGAATTTGCGTATAATATTATTTTATAAAAGAATGTGTGGTTGAATAATGTCAAATCACTATTTAAAATGTATTTTTTTTACAGGATGTGGGTCAAACATGGCTTTAGAAAGGTCAATCTCGTTAAAAAAAGTAGTTCAATCCCTTGTATAGCTCTCGTTTGGTTTAACTAAAAAAATTGATAACAATCTAAGTCAAAGTCCATAATTAATTTCATGTTATGCATGTTTGGAAACATTATAAATTACTTAAAATTTCATAGTCGATTTTAATTTTAACATACAAAGTTTTGAACAACTTACAACTAAAACTAAACTATCCACCATTCATTTCTATTATATTATAGTTTTAATAACTTATAATTTATCCAAACAAGCAATTAATGGTTTTGAATTGCAAGACTTAAACATATAATTTGTTAACTTTATTCTTCAACAAGGTCCATTTAGAATCATTAATTTGCCAAGAACATGCTTCGTGTACGGCACTATATATATGGGGCTTGTCTATTTCAATCCCTGTCCAATTAGCAATCCAACTTGATTGTCTTCTCCAATCAATAAGGATCTTTCTCTCTCTCATAAATAAACGGACACAAAAACGTATGGCGAGAGAATTAGAACCCTTGATTGTTGGTCGAGTAATAGGAGATGTTCTTGATTCTTTCACTCCAACCATAAAAATGTCTGTTACTTATGGCAATAAACAAGTCTTCAATGGTCATGAGTTCTATCCTTCCACAGTCACGGCTAGGCCAAGGGTTGAGGTTTCTGGTGGTGATATGAGAACATTTTACACATTGGTACGTACTCGATATTAGTTATCCGCCTCTCATTGCTTCTTTTCTTCTTGACAAGTTTGGTTATCCAAAATATTGAATTACATGTAGACGAGATTTTAATTTCTTTTTTCTTTTTGCCCCGATCATACTGCTATCAAGTTACGCGTACCAAATTAATTACATGTCCGGTTGCAGGTGATGACTGACCCTGATGTCCCTGGCCCCAGTGATCCATATCTCAGGGAGCACGTACACTGGTATAACCTAAAACATCTATATACATAATTGATCTCTTAAATACCGATACTAAGCTTATGCTAATTTGTAAAGATCATTGGATCATGGGCATTACATGCAGAACTACATGTATAGCTATCTTTTCAAATTCAAAACAAAGGGGCTTTTTTTCTTTCCTATTTTCCATTTTTTTTTAAGGTCCCATCGATTTAAACTAGAAAATCAAAATTATAATTTTCACAAACGATTAAATCATCAAGAACTGAATATTAAATGTAAATCCAACTACAGGCTAGACCCTGCCACAGGAGCATTTATATAATCAAGATCATAATAATAGAGGATCAGGTGATCATGCAAGGATCACCTTGAAGAATAAAAATGGGAACAAGAAGTAGGGTATGCAATTGAATAAGTGTGAATTAGTGAGTGAACTTGAATTCCCTACAAGGATTAAGAGCTAAAAATTCCTTATACTGGGCAATGAAGTAGCTTATTTAAATCAGAAGGGAACAAACGTATGAATTGTTGGCGAAGAAAGAGGTTTGGCTAATTAGTTGCTGGACTATTTATTAGATAATATCTAGGATTTCACTTTCAATATTGCCTTCTTACCACCAGAAGACTGGTAGTTCTTTAGCAGATCCCACTCTATGTAGCCGATACGGACATAAATGTAAGAGCTAACTGTTTCTTGTCTTATATGAACCATGTCACAGGTTAGTCACCAACATTCCAGGGACAACAGATGTCACATTTGGTGAGTATATTATACTCACGTAGACATAGACAGAGGGAGAAGGGTTTTTTATTTTATTTTAGTTTTTTTCCCTTCTAAATAGAGTAATGGTAATGATTCGGCCTCTATTCCCAAACCGTTAACTTACGTATTGTTCGCTATGGGTGGACATCTGCTCATTTATTCTCTCACGGATTTCTATCGTGTCTTTAGGCTTCAAATCCATGACCTTTCAACTTATGTATTGTCATACAATTTAAGTATCTTTTAAGGGAAATGTCAAATCTTGGAGATGCAATAGAAATTCGTGAGGCGATAAGCGGGTAGATGTCCACTCCGAGCAGAAAGTTAATGAATTGGATATAAAGGAAAGGTCATTCCAATAATAGAGGAATAATTGCTTATTCCGAGGACTTAGATATGTTTTGACAGGAACGGAATTGATGAGCTATGAGATCCCAAGGCCTAATATAGGAATACACAGGTTTGTCTTCGTTCTGTTCAAACAGAAAGGCAGACAAACACTAAGCCTACCTGCTTCAAGTGATCACTTCAGCACTCGAAATTTTGCTGCAGAGAATGAATTGGGCCTCCCAGTTGCTGCTGTCTTCTTCAATGCACAACGAGACACTGCTGCACGAAGACGCTAGCTACTGCCCGTAGCCTGATCACTTCGTTTGCTACAATAAAGTCTTCCATCCTATGTTTGGAACATAGCACTCGATAGAGCTGGAATGTATGAATAAAATTGTGTCCTCCTACCAAATATACTACTAATGTTTGCTCTATGTTTATACTAGAAAAAAGGCTCTCGTTGTGATTTTGGACTGTACCTGCTTTGTGTGCTTAATTTCCATTAAAAGTTGGTGAATATGTGATTCTCAGTCTCTTCTTCGAATTAAGGTTCATGTATGGAACATGGATTGTTTAACTGTGCACAGAAGTATCATAAAGCAGGAAATTTACATCATAACAAGCACATTTTCTTATTGTTTTGTTTACACTTCATGCAAGTTAGTTATTTGGAAAATGTTTATGACAATGAAAAAGGAGGGAGGATAAGTACAGATGTATTATTATTATTTTTTTAATTTTATTTTTCAATAAAACCACTCTAACTACAATGATTTATTAATGACCAAAATATATTGTACAATAAAAATTTGCATAAAACTTACCCAGCCAAAGAAATATACTCTTTGGTAGGGATTAAAATCTAAATTTTAATTTGAGTCAAAATCAACAGTTAATTTTAACTACATATTGTTGACCTATGGTTAACTTCTTGTTTTGATTATAACAAACATATTATGTTTAACAATTGTATTTGAGTGATTATATAACAAGTGTGGACAAAGGGATGCTTTCGAAGTTTTCACAAATTGGACAAAGTAGAAACAGACCTACACATCAAGACAACGAGCACTTCATCAAGTCAAACAAAGAAGAAATTAGATTTAGACACTTGATTTCAAATGTTAAGATAAAACACTTTAGTCTTTGGCAAATATGTCATTTGAAGCTCAAGAAACGTTTCTTCGCACGACAAGCACGATTTTTGCATAAATAATATTTCTTAAAGTATGAACCTATTATATATTTTAAAAAATGTCAAAAAGTCTGAAAACTATGTTAGAGACATCCTTCATGAGAGTACATTTTTTTAAAAAAAGAAGGAAAATTTCTAACTACCGGGCACGAACTAGCCTAGATGAGCATCTGGTAGCTCTAGTGGATGCGTCCGGTACTCCTAGCGAACGTCCAATATGGCAGGTTTGTTCAACGGTCAAGAAATTGAATGTTTTGACTTTTGAACAAAAAACGATTATTTGACTATCCGATTGAAAGCCCAAGAACAACTAACCAAGAGGAGTGTGAATTGGTTATTTGAATCTTTTTTAAAATTAACGCAAATTTAAGCAAATAACTATGAATAAACAAGATAACATAAAAGTAATGTGAGGAAGGGAAAAGAGAGTGCAAACGATGTAATAAGGAGGTTCGATCCAATCACAATCTACATCCCCCGTTACCAAGCTCTCCGTCACGAGCAAGGCATTTTCTACTATATTTGATTGATTTATGATGCAATCCAACCTTTACAAAGCTTCTAGTGACTTACAATCATAAGCACCGATCCTTTTACACCGTTGAGTTTTTCGAGACCTCTACACGACCAACAATCCAAAAATAAGAGAATTGAAATTACAAGCGAAAAACTTCTCTCTTAATAATTGATATAGACTAAGTTTGAATATAAGAGAGAAGTAGGTAAACAATTTAATTGATAGCAAAAAAGGTAGCTCAATTATTTTGATTGAAAAATTTTAGTTGAGATAAATGATTTTTCAACTTTTGATCACTTAAAAAGTTTTTTAATAAATGAATGATTTGATCTTTAAAAGAGTGAAAAATAAGGTTGAGAGAATCAATAAAATACTTCACTTAATGCTCATGAACAGTTATTTTGAATAGTGAAGAGAAAGTGATATTTATAGCTCTCAAAGATCTTCCTAACGATCAAAAGTCTGCCTCAACGGACAAGGGTACCGGACCATCCGGTACGTACCGGACAAGGCTACTAGCCGTTGGTGAGATAGGTGTCAGAACGTTAAAAAAATTGACCGTTGGACAAAGACCTCTACCAGATCGTCAGGTAGCTCAAAAAGGATTTTGCTTTGAATGATATTAATTTGAGCTCCGGAGACTTCTTTGCTAAATATTAAAATGTTATATCTTTTCATATAAATTTAAGAGTTCTAATATAGTTTTCTTCAATATGCTCGATCATCAAAGTTTATGACTTCGATCTTGATTTCTCTTGACATTGACATTCGTTTCGTTCTTCATGAGTGCATTTATCTTGTCCTATGTATGAATCTTCATTTTGATGCGACGGTCGATTTGATTTCAACTATCACGATTCAAAAATAGGTTTGTTAGAACCAAAATTCAATCTTGTTTCTTATAATCAAAACATAGACGGAAGTCAACCAAATCAACAATTTCCCCTTTTTGATTATGACAAACAAGATGATTTGCAAAAGACGAATGATTCACAAATTTAACAAATACACACACACACACACACACACACACACATACATACATACACATTATGCATAATCAACCATTACACTATTAAATCCATTTGGCATATATCCACATATCATATTTTTGCATAATCATCCACAGGGGTGAATCCAGGATCTTCGGCCAGCACGGGCGGTCGTAATAAAATATTAAGAGCTTGTTTGATGTCATTTTTTGTAAAAAAATGTATTTTGGAATACTAATTTGATGGAGAATGTATAGTTAAAAATAATAAAAAATTTTGAATTTACGTGTAATATTATTTTATTAAAGAATATTTGATCGAAAATAAATGAAAGAAAAATGTATTCTGAACTAAATGGGAATCAAACAAAACTTAAAATTTAAATAAAATAATTATTTGTTGAAATTGAACATATATAATTTTGTTATAGAATAAATCGTACTCACCAAATAATATTATTGTTTTGTATAATTTAAAGGAAGAGCATGGTGTTTGAATTTTTACAATTGCATAAAAACCACTAAAATCTTACATATATTATTTTGATAAACTTTGTATCACAATTCATCAAGTGTCATAGTGGTTAAGCTTTCACTATGTCCTAGAAGAGCTCACAGGTTCGATTCTCCATTGGCCCCTTTCCTTATTTCAATGGTTTTTGGTCAGAATTGTATAACTAAAAAAGCAAAAGGAACTAAGGAAGTGCCAACCAAAGATTCGAACCCGGGTCATCAAAGAAGCAAAAGGTAGCACCAACCAACTTGGCTAGAAGCAACATTTGGATAAAAAATAACTTACCAGTAATATATACTATATATTTGTCTATTCTCAGCAAAAAAAAAGGACTCCTGGCAGATCCAGCACGAGCGGCTGCGGGGGCTCACCGGGTGCTGGATCCGATAGTGATCATCCACATATCACTTCCCCCTTTTGGCATAAGCAAAAAGAAGTCAACCATTGAATGCAAGAACAAAGAAGCAAAATAGATTTGTCTAATAACAATGCATGAAACCCAAAAACAGTTAGAGAAGCATAATAGTGCAATGTTCAAAGGAAAAGCATAAAGACAAGCATTATAAATGACGGTGAGTGAACTATGGTGCTAGAGGGAATCGAGAGTAGAAATCAGCAAAGAAGGCAGTTTGTTGTGCTTGCATCTCCGCTTGCCGGTCTTGGATAGTCGTTTGTTGTGCCTGAAGCTGGAGAAGTAAACTTCCAAAACTGTCAATGGTGGAAGTGAGAGAGTCAATATGGCCGTTGAGGATGTTAAATTGATCTTCGGTCATGCTATTTCCTCTACTCGATGCTTGAGGGCCACTCGAGCTTGGAATGTCAGAAGGGGTGATTGGAGCATCATCGGAATCATCCTCATCATCGCCTTCAAAAGCTAAAGTGGATGGACCCGAGGTACGATCGAACCCTTTTGTGTATGCTACCCATTGACCATTTTCCTTTGTGATTCGCATTCGTGCAAGTGTATTGATGTTAATGGTGTCGGTTGAACGTAATTTGACAAAAGGCTTATTATCCAACGGCACACGAAAGTGTTTAAAAATTTTGGTTAAAAGCATGCCGTATGGAAGAGCGTTGGTTTTTCGAGAGGTATGCACGCATTCTATCGTTCCAGTGACCAAAGTTGGAAAATCTAATTTTCGATTCACAAGAAAAGAGTTAAGAATAAATAGGTCGAGGAAATTGACTTCATCCCAATGTCCTTTTCGAGGAAGTATGACATGGGCGATAATGTGTTGTAAAACCTTGCAAGGTAAACTCAAGTGATGTGTACTAATTTTATTGATATTTTCAAAATCCTTTTCGATAACACGTCGACAAGCATCACTCGGGTTATAACCCTCTATCGACGGATGTGCCTTATGATGATAAATTTGTGTTTCACACATGTCAAGCTCAAGAATTTCACGAATGAGTGTTTTGGAAATAGTGATACACACATTGTTAAGAAAACACGAAATTGTGCCCGATCGAATAACCATTGAGTGATAAAATTCTCTCATTAACCTAGGATATGTGTGCTCTTTCATCCCGACTACATTGGTCCAACCCATGTGTTCTAAGAAATCCTCAATGTGAAATGAAGGTGCTAATAGTGTAAAATCAGAGAGATCAACATTTTTACCTATGAGAATGAGAGATTTCTCAAATGAGTTCGTAGGTACCTCAGGTTTTTCATCTATTTCTTCATCGGAGAAGCTTGGTGGAGGAAGCATAGCAGTCCTTTTGGGGCGATTTACTGCTCTTTTCACTCTTGGCATTGTGGAAAATGTGAAAAATTGATGAAGAAAAAGCTAGGGTTCGAACTTATGCGATTTTTGGATTTTGGCAAATGATAGCTTGAGATTTCGAGTAATAGTGAGTGTAGAGGTTGTGGGAAAGGGAAATTTCTAAAAATTTAGCGAAAGAAATATGTTGCAGGATGAAGGAGGAAGAGATTTAGGGAGAGAAATTCGAAAATGAGGACAAGAAGTGAGGAGGAAGATGACTGGTTCAGTTTAAACAATGATTTCCCGTTGTACTGGATGGTCCGATACATCATGCCGGACGGTGCGGTAGGGTAGAGACTTCTCTGATAACAACGGACTACTGTACTGGATAGTCCGTTGGGCTTGTCCGGTACATATCGGACGGTCCATTTTGGTCGTTTGATACATTTTTATTTTTTTTTACTAAGATACTGAAATTATCGTCACCATTTGTAAAACACCAACAACATTAACAAAATTGTAGCTAAACAATAGATTTGATCAACAAACCACTCACA